AGACTGAAAAGAGAAGACTCTTAATTGACTGTAAATAAAGATACAACTTACTAAAATTTAGAGGGTATAGGCTCAAATGTTCTCAAAATATGTAGCACAAACACATTCTAGGAATATTTGCCCTTCCAAGTTGCTGTTGATACCATTCACCTGATGTGCTCTTTCTAAACCCAGAAATAATGACATGATTGGGAGTCCAAAAAAGTCTGCGCAAAAGTATTTACTGTAGAGTGAAAGCAGAAAACAACATTTATTGTCAAGCAAGAACAGGAAGCTCATAGGTGAGGGAACGAGTGCTGGAACCTAAACAGGTTTCCAAGTGGACTCTTTAAGTTTTGTTTTGTTTGGTTTTGTTTTAACACATAAGTGTCTCAGCCAAGTTGCGATCAGTCTATGCAATTACAAAGCAGGAAAGTTTTACTTAGAAATGTGCCTAGAGGAACTCCAGGCATGTAACAGGTGCATGTTTGGAAGCACCATGAATTGTAACATTTCTAAGATTAGCAGAACAGACAGAATAAAATATTTCCAAGAGAGGTATGAAAACCTTATTTTTGGGCAAGAAAATTTGCACAACCCGGTGAGGCTTTGTCTGATGGGCCTCCAGTTCCCTGGCTTTGTCCATTGTGCCCTTCAGTGAGTCCTGTCTGCCCATCTGTCCTGTCTTTAGAACTCTTTTTGCCAGAAAACACAGCACAATCCTCCCCTCATGAGCCAGAGTCACTCTGAGAAATCTCTCACCTTCCCATAGGGTCAGGTTCATCCTCAACATTTCCTACTGCACGTCACATTTTACTAGAAGTGATTGGGTGCCTCTTGCTAGGTTAGGAAAATGATACTCAAGCCAGGAAATGGAATCTAACATCACACCAGAGGTCTCCTAGTTCATTCTCCCCAAGTCTCCTGATATCTCCTTGTTTTGTTTGCACCACTGCTCATCACAGGATATTATGGAATCAAAGTTAGTGTAGACCAACAGGGGAATGGCTACAGACACTGTGTGTGTGTGTGTGTGTGTGTGTGTGTGTGTGTGTGTGTGTGTGTGTGTCTGTGTGTCTGTGTGTCTGTGTGTGTCTGTGTGTCTTGGTTCATGAACTTAATTAATTCCATGATTCTGGGGAAGATGGTTGTGTTCATATTCATGTGGGGAAGATGGCCATGATTGCGTTTGCCACCCAATGTCAAGTTCACAAATGGAAGCAAACTTTTGCCAGAAGCATTGATGAAGTTTAAAAAAAAATTTTTGATAGGAGGGGTGGAATTAGATAACATTAAGCTGAGTGGAATAAGCCAGGCACACAAAGGGAAATACTGCATGCCTCAATCATATGTGGAATAAAGAACAAAATAGAATGATTTTGTCCAAAAGTGGTGAGGGAGCAAGGGGAGAAGATGGTCAAACACACACAGCTTAGAAAACAATTAAGCATATTCTCAGTAAAGATGTAAACTGCTGTCACTCATAGATGAGAAGATCATATATGTATAATATTTAGAATCAACAAAACTAGTAGAACTACTTAGATTATCATAGACAAGTATAGAGTAATCAGTGTTATTTTTGTCCTGTCATTCACCATAAGATAAATCTCTAAAGAGGGTACTTTGGATATGAACATGAAATGTACGAAATACAATAAGTCCCTGACTCATGAACATTTGAGTTGCGAGCTCACACTTAGGATTTCCAAATATTCATAGCTGCAAACAAATAGCGAAAGCACAGCATCACCATTTAAGTAAATTTGAAATAAAAATAGTTTAGAGTAGCGCTACACTGTTTCACCAGTTTTAGGTAACTGTAAAAATAAAAATTACTTTTTTTCAGCGTTTTGTGTATTTTATTTTTTATGCTTTACATGGCATGTTTGTGTCAAAGTTAAGTAAGGCTCACTTTGCAAGACTTGTAAATGAATTTATAAACGTTCTCTTTCCAGAGGCAACTGCTTCGTTAAGTCAGGGATGTAATATATTTAGGGAGAAATCTTAAAAATATCAAGTCATATACAATAAAATCTACAAAGTATTTGGAAAAGATGTTTAGAGATCTAAATAAGTTACTCCAGATCCACTGTGATTTAGATCAGACTCAAAACATTTTTTCCTAAGGTATGATAACTTAATTCTGAAATTTATTTAGAAATATAAAAGGCTTTTTATTTAAAAGAAAAAGTTGGCAAATTTGTGTTATTTAAGTTGCATCTATAACTATGAAACTATATGATATAGGCATTGAGATAGATAAATATCTGGAGTAAACTAGGAAGCACAGAAGCAGATCCATACACACATTTCCATTTGATTTTCTACTGAGAAGCTAAGTCTAGTCAGTGGGAAAATAGTCTTTTGTACAAAGGTCACCTTAATTTTAGGAAGTTTACTTGCAAAACTAAATTAATTTGTACCACATCTCGTAACCTTATAAAAATTAACACCAGATGGATCATGCACATGAGAATAAAACCAAAAGTATAGATCACAGAGGGGGAAACACAAGAGGAAGTCTTTATGAACTTAGGTGATACAATTTTCTTAGTCATAACATTTTATGATTCATAAAATGTGAAATGGCTATTGGGGAATATATCTGAATAAAAATTTGCACTTTTGAAAGGATTTTAAGAGGATGAAAAGATAAGCCACAAACTGGGAGAAGATTCACTGTAGTCACCTATCTTATGGAGGTGACTGAGTAGATCCATCTTGTATTGCTTTCACGGGACATCACAAACTGCCTGACTTATAAAGAGCAGAAATTATTTATTTCTTACAGTTTTGGGAGCTGGAAAAGTTAAGTTTGAGGTGGGCACTTTCCACTGACCAGTGACAGCTGCTCTATTCCTTCACTGTGACATCAGGAAGCACAGGCATCTGGGAAGCAGAAATGTTGCCTTCTTGCATGACATAAAGTGGAAAGGCAAAGGGGAAGAGGCAAATTCTATGTGCCCCATAAGCAGAAGAGTAGAAATACTCAGATCCATCCCTATCAACCCTTTTCATAACAATATAAACCCATTCATTATTAAAACAACACACATTAGGCCCCACTTCCTGGTGTTAGTAGACTAGAAATTATATTTCCAACACATGAATTTTAGAAGAAGATACTTGGACAACACTAGCCATAGATAGAAAATTTTTACACATTCTGAAAAGTGGTAAGAAGATATATAATTATAAATGGATCAAAGATAATAAATAATATAGGAAGACATGAATAACAAATAAAACCCTATAGAAGGCTCCTCTTCTTTGGTTTTAAGGAAAATGCAAGTACCACCAATAATGGGATATTATTGCAAACCTATTACTATGTCTAATACTGAAATGATTCACTCTACTAGGTGTTACCAGGAATACAGACATTTCAAAGTCCCCAACACTTCTGGTGGAGTGACAGATATCATGACAGTTTCTTACATATGAAGCACAAGCCAACTGTATCACAGAGTGCTTCCACCCGAGGTATTTACTCAAGAGAAATGAAAACACTAGTCCGTGCAAATACTTGGAAATGAAAGTCCACAACATCTTTGTTAGTGATAACGCAAGCATGAAAACCAGGCAAATGAGTGTTAAGAGATGAGCAAATTCTACTGTGGAAAATGGAGAACATGAGTATCTTGCAACAGAAAGAATGAACTTTTCTTATGTCCAACAAACTGAAAAGTTTTCAAAATAATTATGCTGAAATGAAGGTGCTAGACAAGTGGAATACATATGATACGATTCTATTTGTATAAAATTATGTGTTCTCCATAGAAGTCCTCTCTCTGAGGGACAGGTAGCTAAAAGGATTTGTCCCAGTTCGTGGGTTTTCTTTTTACTCTGTTGGTGGTTTCTTTTGATGTGCAAAAACTTTTCAGTAAGATGAGATCTCAGTATTGAAAGGAATAGTTAATGCTTAAATTTATTACTTTTTATAGTTTTTGATGAATTTTGCCTGCTTATATCTGGTAATATGAACAATTAATTTGAAGACAAGAATACACAATATAACAACCGCTGTTGAATTTCTATCATCCTGTTTAGTGAAATTCTGTATCATTTTCAATTTTTTTAGTATTCTTTATTCCCTTTAAAACATAATATTATGTGAAATACAATTTAATTTATACTAATTGAAAACCAATCAATTGTTGCTAAGGTTGCCAGTGTGTGTGTGTAAAAACTTACATTACACTTTATTTATAACATTTATACAGTAATACATTTTAAGGAATGAAAAGAAATACTTCTTCAAATAAGCAAATATGGGTAGCATTTTGTCTTTAAGATATCTTTGAACAACAAATTTGAAAGTAAGAACTTTAGCAGAATAAAAATGATGTCAAAAGCAAATTTAGATCTAAGTAGAATAAAGGGTCCTAGAAATGATAAATATGTGAGAAATATAATTTTCACTTCAATTTCTTTAAAGAACATTGAAAGAAAAATATAGAAATAATAGAGTTTAACATGGAGTATCTTATAAATATATATAGCTATATATAGTAAGCAATGAACAATGTAGTAAAATATTATATATATCTCAAAAGATGGAAAGAGAAATTTGAATTGTAACATCTTTATTTTTAAAGAGTGTTGTATTATTTGAAGGTATATAGTGATAATTAATAATGTGCACTTGGACCGTTAAGCAGACAGCAAAGATGGACAGTGAAGTAAAAGATAGCTGTAGTTAAAAGGTCATGGTAGGTATAAAATATACCCAGTAGATTCCAGAACATGACTAAATAAAGGAGGCACATCTGAGAGACTCAAAAGAGATCAACTAAAAAAAAAAGAAAAAAACCAATGCAATTAGAGAAAGGTGGGAGGTATATACCCTGTTACAGAAATTCAATTTAAAAGAAGAGGCTCATAGAGTGAACAAAATATACCGACACAATTTAAAAGGAAAAGAAGCAGTTCAGTGAAGTTGGCCCATGGGGACTCCACCTTTGCACACCATGGCAACTGGAATCTTGAGAGCTTCCCAAACAGCCATTTGATGGGCCCCAAGGCCCTTGGCAGAGTCTGCCTAAGTGGATAGATGTGGAGGTGCACAAGTCCCTTTGACCCACAGTCTCCTCTCCAAGCGCAGAGGAGGCTGCAGCAGGGCAGCATCTTTACCAGCGCACAGTAGCAGTGAGTGATCAGTGGCACAAGAGGCTCCGTCCCGCACCCGTCTGATCTCAGGCCCCGAGAAGATGCGAAGGCAACTATGGCTTGTGGTGAGAATCTTCAGCATTGAACTCAGGGCCCATCTGAGTTACGTCAAGAAGCTTGAACTTTATGCCAGGTCGACTGGGACATTCATTTGACACACAGAGCTAACACTGGTCCAGCTTGAGCCTGCACCCAGCACCTGGGGTTCCCTTGAGAGGACACCCAGCTCTCACTGCTCTGCTCCAATCCTAGACCTGCCAGAGACTCTGTCTGATACCTAGCACCAGGCCTGGACAGTCTGAGTCTCGTGGGGTGCTCCAAACACACATGAATCTCTGCCTGGTATATTTGGACACTGGCAGTGTCCATTCAGCACTAAGCACATAGCACTCGCTTTAGGTGCAACACAGTCTACATCCTGTATTTTACCAGAGTCCTCGGCAAAGTCTCTGCCTGGTTAAGACAGTGACCTGCCTAATTAACAGCAGTGTTTAAGTAAGGGTCTGCTTTTTTGCCTGGTGTTCTGGATGCCCATGAGACACTACCCAGCACCCTGTGCCTTCCCTGAACCTGCTGAAATCTCTCCACATCAGCCTGGGAGCACCTGCATCTCCTTCAGGTATCCCAAAGTGACAGGAGCCTTCACCTGGTATCAGGAACTGGTCTTCTGGATTCTAAAATATATATCAAGTACCTAGAGTGGGCCCCAAAGGAGCAGTAACCCATAGCAGCAGCCACAGAATCTAGTGCTCCACACATTTCCTGTGTTGGTTGACAGTTTAGACAGTTATTACAAAAAGAGTTTACACACAGGGGACTAATTGAGCTGAGAAATATCCACACAAACCCACAGACTCGTCAGATGGCCAAGGAAGAAAGTAACATTTAAGGATGAAGACTGCAGGTTTAGGAAGAAAACATTTTTCTGGAAATATGTATGAATTTTTCTTTAGCTTTTTTAATTTTTCTTTTGTCCCCTTATTTACCCCATTTATTTTCTTTTCTCCTCTATTCACAACTAATATTATTATTAGTTATTATTATTATTAATTATTGTTATTTTACTACTGGAGTTGTATCACCCATCTTCTTATAATCTCAGGTTTAAATGTAATGTTGTTTGAATAGATCCTCCCTTTTTTCCTCTGTCTTTCCTTGCTATCTCTCTTTCAACCTGTTTCTTTTTTTTGTTTTGTTTTTCTCTGGTACCGGGAACCGAACTCACGACCTTGCGCATGCCAGGCAGGCACTTTTGCCACTGAGCTAAATCCCCAGCCCCTCAACCTGTTTCTTGAGTATTTTTTCTTACTGCCTTTTCCTCTAGTCTAAGGGTGCGGGTTAAGATTTGGGTTAGGATTAATCCTTATCTTAGTTGTTTTTTTCTCTTACTGTTCGTTAATACTACTAATTTTCCTTTTCTCCTAGTACGAACTTTGACCCCAACCTTACCAGCTTCTTTGCATCATCTAATGTTTTATTTTTCTTAACTTTTGTTTACTCCTTTCTCCCAAAACTGTGCCATTTACACTCATGAGTCTGTAGGTAGGTAACTAAATCTTACAATGCCTGAATAAAGCTCTGTTTTGAAAGGGGGTAAAATTACTCTATTGCTTAGATATTTGAGGTGTATCTGTAGTTAGTTTGTCTTAGAGATTCTTCTATAACTATATATCTTGTTCCTATAGTTAAAGGTGGTACTATGTTAGTTATTAGTTTGTCATGGTTCAGCTTGTGCTCGATGGTTTTGTTATTGTTGATAGTAATGCTTTAGTTAAGGGGGCAAAGACATTGCTATCAACTGGTGTTCCCTGTATACCAATATCCAGATTGTCTGAGAATAATAGTCACTGCTACAGTCCATCACCAAAGAACTGGGAACTACACTAAACAGGCTGCAAACTGTCCTTTCTAACAAATGAAGGTGGTAGATGCTGAGAGAAATCCAAAGGCCAACACCTAGTTAAGCCTACAACATTTGTGAAAAGTTGATGTTGTTATAATCAGAAGTAATTCCTTCCATAAAATATAGGGATATAGATCAAATCACTTAAAGTAAATAGCAGAAAGTGTTCATTCTATCACATTCTAGAAATATAAAGCTGAGAAAACTTCATGCAGAGGCAACATCTTAAGAAAAATCTCATGTAAATCACAAGCTCTCCTCACTCTACTAAACAGCAGCCTGAGACCCCCTCAAAAAACGAGGCAAGAAAGAATTGGAAGCCGCATGTACGTGAGAAAGCAGGAAAACAGAAGACCTTTGAGGTTGTGCAGCACTCCCAGGGCATATCCAGGGATCACTAAAGGCAAGGAAAGCAAATACCAGGGGGTGGAATGTTATTAAAGTTCATAGAATAGATGAAGAAAGTGGATGAGTTCAAAGAAGAAATAAACCAAAATTTCTGAGAAATTGTATTCCATACCTCCATGGTGAATGCAGGGAAAAAACATCCTAAACTAGATGAGCTAACTGAAGCAGTTCAAAATTTAAATGTCAGTTTCAACAAAGACACAGATCCTTAAAGAGAAGTCAGGCACAAATAACTAAACTAAAAACTATTTGAACTCATAAATTGCAGAAATGGCCAAAGTGAAGATAATGTCTCAAATTGAGGACAAAATAGTGAATTGTGGTGACATACCCAAAGAAACCACAAAGAAAATAAGAGAACAAGGGATTACACAGCAGTTATCAGATGATAATAAGACCAATCTAAGGCTAATTGGACTTAGAGAAAAATTAGAAGACAGTACAGATGAATTTACTAACATGGTTACAGAAATCATAGAAGAAAATCCCAGGAATTTAAGAAAAGTATTTAAAATATAGGTAAGAGATATCTAGAGATCACCAAAAATATGTTGAAAAAGCTCACCAAGACATATTCTTAATAAATTACCAGATATCCATCAAAAATCAGAATTTTAAAAGCAAGCAGAGAAAAACAAAATATTATACATAAAGGTAAACCAATTAGACCACAGTAAACTTCTCAAACACAAAACCTGAAGGACAGAAGAGCTTGGAATGAAGTATTTCAAACACCAAATGGAAATAACTTTCAACCTAGATCAAAGTATCCAGCAAATTTATCTTATGAAGGAGATAGAGAAATAAGATATTTCCATGAAAATGACCAGTTTAAGATCTAAAAAAGTATTCAAGAAAATGCTTTAGAATATTCCTGGCAGAAATAACAAAAGTGGCACAGCTAAAAGCAGCTAGGAAACGGAAACCCCAAGTAAGTTCAATGGATAAACAACAACAACAAAAAAATCACAAAATAAAAAAGAAGGATTCACCAACAGATAAATAAGGCAGTGCATTAGTAAATAATCAACACATCCTAAAATATCTTTCAGTGTTAACAACATCAAGGCTCCAATTACAGGACACAGATTGGCAGACTAGATCAAAAAACGGAATTGAACAGTCTGTTGCATTGGAAAAAAACTCATCTAATCCAAAAGATATTGATAGACTAAAAAATTGTGGAAAACAATATTTCATGCCCCAGGACCATGAAAGTAAGCAGGAGTAGCCATTGTAATATCACACTCAGTAAGCTTTAAGCTAAAACTTATTAGAAGAGACAAAGAAGGTAACTACATGCTAGTTAAGGGAACAATACAAGATGTAATATTGATAAATATGTATGCACTTAATACTGGAATATGTAACTCAAACAAAAACTGCTGAAATTGATATATCAAATAAAGACTGACATAAACAGAGTAGAGGATTTTAACTTCCCAAAGAGATAAATCTATTAAACAAAAGTAAAGAAATAACAGACTTGAACAATACCCTTGGACATACAGAATTAATAGATATATACAGAGTATCCCTTAATCTGCAAGAGAGTATGTATTCTTTTCAGCAGCACATGGTACTTTTGCCAAAGGAGATCATAGGCTAGTCCACAAAGCCTGTTTAAGTAAACACAAAAGTGCTGAAGTTACCTCATGCATTCGCTGTGCAAAAAAAGTGGAAATCAGTGACAGAAGAAATGTGGGAAAAAGCAAAAGCTCCTGGAAAATTAACACAGTACTCAAAAAAATAATAGGTCACAGAAAAAATCAAAGCAGAAATTTCAAAAATTTGGAAGTTAACTAAATTTATTGTACAATTAAACAAAACCTTTGGGGCACTTTTAAAGCAGTTGTAAGAGGAAAATTCATTGCAATTGATGCTCACATCAAGAAAACAGAGGAAGCCCCAATAAATAACCTTCTAAAAATCATGAGATACTTAAGAAATAACAAAATAAGAGATAAATTATAAAGATGAGAGTGGAAATTAATAAATTGATACTAAAAATCTATAAAACAAATCAACAAAGCAAAGAGCTGGTTCTTCAATAGAATAATTAAAATGGAAAAGCCCTTAGCAAGACTCACCAAGAGAAAGAGAGAGAAAAGATTCATATGAATGCAATTAGAAATCACAAAGATGAAATTGCAACAAACACTATTGAAATCCAGAAGATAGTAACTATTTTGAATACTTATATTCTAACAAATTAGTAAACTTTGAAGAAACTGACAGATAGCTAGACAGATACAAACTATTAAAACTAATCGAGAATCTAAGCACAAGAAAGAAATTGACTCAGTAGTAAAGAGTCTATCAACTAAAAAAGCCCAGGACCTGCAGGATTTACAGCTGAATTCTACAAACTGCTAAGTATAGTATATTGCCAATACTCTTCAAGGAATTAAAAGAAATTGAGCAATTTCTGTCCCTTTCCCAACATCCATTGTATGTTTTGGGTTCCACTTATTCTTTCAGGTTCTTACACTAGGGAGACAACAGGATGTTTACACATGTGGGTCTGATTTATTTCACTTATGAGTATGGTCTCTAGTTGCATCATTTACTAATAAAAGCCTCGAGTTCATCTTTTTTTTATAGCTGAGTAATACTCCATTGTATAAAAATACCATATCTTCTTTTTACCCATTCCTCAGTTGATGGGTATTTGAGTTGTTTCCAAGATGTTGCTATGACAAATTGTGCTGTTGTCTCCCTAGTGTAAGAACACTAGTGTAAGAACATGAAAGAGTAAGTGGAACCCAAAACATATAATGGATGTTGGGAAAGGGAAAGAAATTGATCAAAAGTGGGAATAACTGGGGTGAAAGGAGAAAAAGAAAGAAAGAAGAAAGGGAAAATATAGATGTATGTATACAG